TGAAAAAAATCTGAAGTAATCCACCTTCTGAAATGGCATGAATGTTTTCGGCTTCCGGAAAGTCCTGGAATGACCATTGTCTTACCTGAACGGTCGTTTTCAGGGCGCTGCGAAGGAGAGTCCAAGCAAGGGGTTAAATACAGCCAATCTGCCCAGAGCTGAATTGAAACTTTAAGCCATGCCTCTGGTGCTGACTATCTTCAGATTTTTTTCAATGAAGGCGTGGAACTGTTGCGCGCTGAGTTCAACAATAAGTAGGGGGAAAAAACATATCCAACATAGGCACAAATCCAACTGGAACTGCAGACGTCTGCACTGAAAACAGCGGAACCAGACCGTAGGGAGGGGTTGGATTCTCCTTCGCAGGACCCTGAAAATGACCCTTCAGGTAAGACAATGGTCATTTTCCAGGGTGCTGCTCTGTAGAGTCCAAGCAAGGGACATACTCAAGCTAAATGTCACTAGGGCAGGAAGCAGTCGTGTTCAGGGTCTCACTGCTGGTATGAATGCCCTGAAGCACTCACCTCCCAAAGGCCCCTTCCTCCGAGGCAAACTCGACCAACTTGTAATTCCGAACAAATGGAGATAAGGAAGTCCAAGTGGCCGCCCTGCAAATCTCCTCGATCGGCGCCTGCATCACCCAGGCTGCTGTGGTGGCGGCACTCCAGTAGACTGTGCCGTGATGTGGCTAGGTACAGGTTTAGACTGCAGAACATGAGCAAGGGTAATGCAGACTCTTAACCACTGTCCGATAGTAGAGGAGGAAACTTTCCGGCCCTGGGAGGCCAGTTGGAAAGAAACGAAGAACGATTTGGAACAACGAAGCACAGCTGTGAGCTTGACGTATTTGCGGAGCATCCTGCGGACATCGAGCATGTGCCAACGCTTCTCCCTCGGGTGCCTGGAATGCGGGCAAAAATCCGGGAGAATGACCTCCTGGGCCCAGTGAAACCAGGAGTTGATCTTGGGGATGAATGTTGGGACCAGCCGGAGGACCACCCTGTCCTGTTGTATCAAACAAAAGTCCTCCCGAACCGATAGGGCTGCCAGCTCTGAGATATGCCGCGCAGAAGTGATGGCGATCAAAAAGGCGGTCTTAAAGGTCAAATGCTTAATGCTGGCCAACTGAAGTGGTTCAAATGGAGGACCGATCAGAGCACGGAGAACAACGTTGAGGTCCCATGAGGGATATCTGTGGACCACAGGGGGCATCAGATTGGTTGCGCCCCTCAGAAACCTACGGATAGTGGGATGACGCCCAAGGGAGGAATGTTCGTCAGGCGCAAGTATTGTAGAAATCGTGGCCACCTGGTGTCATAGAGTGTTGGGCGCTAGTCCCTTGTTAAGACCATCTTGCAAGAAGCCCAGGAGGATGGGAATTGTGGCCAAAGTTGCAGGTACCTTGTGAGAGGAACACCAGGTGGGGAACGACCACCAGGTGGCGTCATAGATCCAGGTCGTGGAGGGACGCCTGGATAGTGTAGATGACCTTGGTCGAGAGGCTGCCCTTCCTTAGGAGATCCGTCTCAAGTGTCAGACAGCCAGTTGCAGCCACTGAGGCTCTGGATGTTGAAGGGCCCCCTGGCTGAGGAAATCTCATGCGGCGGGATCCACCAAGGAGGGTTGATGGAGAGACTCACCAGATCGGCAAACCAGATTCTCCTGGGCCAGAACGATGACACAAGCAAGACCTCTGCTGCCTCCAACAGGATCTTCCAGATGACTCTGGGAAGGAGAGGTAATGGCGGGAACACATACCACAGTTCCCGCGGCCATGGGCAGTACAAGGCGTTGACTCCCTCGGCCTGCGGATCGTGGAACCTTTTGAAGAACCTGGGAAGGTGAACCTCCACATCCTTTCCTAAATTTACATTCCTTATGATTGAATGACCAACCAAAAGGTGACTTCTCTTTTTGCATACCTTGCTCTTCTTATGCGACTGATGTATAATACCTGGTTCCCCATTTTTCTTTTCCGAAGTAAGTTCTTCATTTTGGACCACAATCTCCTGCTTATTTGAGTCATCATTATCACAACTATCTTGACCTGTCTCTTTAGTGTCCCCATTAAGGTCAGCAAGGGCGCTATATCTGTTATGCTGGGTCATGTGTTTATGGTTCACAGCTGTCACCCTGCCAGATCACACAGTTGTCCAGACTGCTCTTCTCCTGCGGGATTTTGCGGTAGAGAGGGCTGAAAGTGTGGCATCTCCATAGAGTGGAATGGCCGAATTGGAAACCTAATTTCTGCTTGGAGAGCACAGATTAAAGATTCTAGATAGGTAATCTGTCTATGTAGACTAGTAATTTGTTTGCAAAGGGGACAGTATCCAAATTTGAAAAGAGTACTGCGAAAGATAGGTTCAAAACAGCTATTACATTGAACTAAGCCAGTCATTTTGAAATAAAATAAAATTACAATCTCAAACACACTAATCCAGAATGTATTACTGCTATTTTGGTTTATAGATATATGATTTGCACGCCGTTAGGCACGCTGGCCACTGCCTTAGTCCTCTTTGTCTCTCTAACTCCCCCCTCGTAGCCAGCAGCTCCAATCACCAGCCTCAGGGAAGTTCAAATGAAATGGAGTTCAAAACAAAAACACTGTTCAGAATTTCACCCTTATGCTGCTAGTGTTTTTTAACAATGTTCTGTGCAATCAGAAAAAGTGTTCATTTGCAATGGTTTATATCCTGAACATTTTATAACTACATAGTACTAATTATAAGATTAGTATTTGATTTAACTAATCAGTGAATATACCCAGGTAGTTTTTTAAAATAAATAAATAAATAAATAAATAAATCTATATTTCCAAACATTTGTGGAAAGACTGCATGATTCTTTCAAGCTACACCGCCAAATCTGAAAATCTGTACAGTCACACAGCACACTGTATCAAACACAATGACTCGAAACAACAGCAAATCAGCTTGTGTATGTACTGAACTCACCTTAGGAAATTGCTTTACTGGAATTAATACTTTTTGTCCCAGTTTCATATTTTTATTAATCACAACGTCGATGTACTTTTCTTCTTCTTTGCCTTCTCCTTTCTGGAATTTATCGATTTCTGTAACAGGAAATAGAAAACTTGCTTTAGAATGAGCTTTCCTAAACCACAGCAACTGCAGCATCTTCATTTAAAACAGCCAAAACTTCATTAGGGCAATTTATCTCCCACCCAAGGCTCCCACTTCCATAACCATCAGATCCAACCCAAGAAACATATGGGGTAATGAGTCCTGCATTCTAAAAAAGTTTATGTTGTATGAAAGACGTCATACAGGGGTCATGCAGGGATGGTACTGGGCCACGCCCCTTTTGGAACCAAGCCGTACAAGCAGCAGGCGAGCGTGTGCACCTCCATTTGCATAAGGGGCGGGCACTGGTACATGCAAGCATCCATCGCTCACACGCATCTCTACGCCTGCCACTCACATAGATCCATTCCCGACTCCCGGTCTGCAAAGCTAGAAAGGTTGGTGACCATTGCTGCATGAAAGTCTTTGTTTTGCTGGATTCTACTCCCCCCCCTCTTCTACTCTAGGTAATGGAGCATTTTTTAATGGAGCGCAGTTAACTCTTGCCTAAGGATATGCCCAGTGGTGGGATTCAAATAATTTAACAACCGGTTCACCCAGAGTCAGCTTGGCTGTTGTGGGAAGCATGGCTCATCCCTGTCCTCTAGTTCCTCTGCTCATGCGGGACAAGCCTCCTGCAACAGCCAACCTGACCCTGGCTGAACCGGTTGTTAAGTTACTCAACCCCGCTATCAAAGTGGATCCTGGGTGCTGCGCTGCGATGGAGAAACAGGCAACAGAATGGCTGGTGCGTGGAAAGGAGGAGTAGGGAGAAAAAAGAGAGAAAGCGGCCTTCCCCTTCCCTCGCACAGGCTCCTCCATTGCCCGTTTGTCCATTGCAGTGCAGCACAGGGCCCAGGATCCACTTTGATAGCGGGGTGGTGTTGAGTAATTTGACAACCAGTTCGCTTGAACCGTTGCAAACCGGCTGAATCCCACTATTGGATATGCCTTATTCCACTTATTCCCTATCCTTTATTGAAACTCAAAAAAGTCTTGCAGGTTCTAATCTGGGTCGGTTACCGGGACCAGGATCTAATCTGGGTCGGGACCAGAGCTCTTCTGAACTTTCAGGCTTGTGCTGGTGCCCATCTTCAAGGAACTTCTCTCTGAAGATGGGCTCCAGCATGAGTCCGAATGCTCGGAAGACAAAATCTCTGGTCCCGCGTAACTGACCAAGATTGGATCCTGCAACATTATCCCGGGACACATATATGGACCTTCATTCTCCAAAGTCTTCCTTACGCTTATCTAAAACACAGAATTCCATTTAAGGAAGGCAGCCTCAGAAGTGCATTTTGTACCAATGGGCATCCCACACACAGCTAATCTCTTCTTTTAATGCCATACACTGCCATATATATTTAGCTTGGAATGATCATACAAGTTTTAAAGACATGCTTTTATACAAATATTTTTTGCAAACATTCTATAAAACAGCCAGGCAGAAAAACTGTTGGGTTGGTCTAAAAATATGTTTATGCTAAAAATCACGGGGTAAAGTTTCATCAGCTACTTGTTTCAAGCTTTGAATTTGTTGGCATAACAGTCACGTTCTCCTAAAATTAAGTCACGCACCTCTAATATGTTTAATAAAGAGCCATACTTTAAAAATAGAACAGGCGTGTAGACAAATAAAAATAAAGTGAAAAGCCAGATATGCAAACTCCAGCTGTTCGACTCATTATCAAGTTAATTTTTGTGGAACTAAAAAAGAAACATGGAGACCAGAAATCTCTTTGCCAGCAATCAACACCCAGATAAGCAAGGATTAAGGCCAGGATTAACACCAGACAAAGAATCAAACGCTAAACAACACCCTAATCCACGAACTAACAAGCAGGAAACAAAATCCTAATCAAGCTACAGGCAAGCTACAGTTATTCCTTGAGGCACCATAACTGGAAGTAGAATATCTGTTGCTTAGCAAGGCTGATATGTGAGTCACATCAGATTTTACCTTTGTTTTGCCACAGTCCTTAAGTGAAACACTATAGGTTTTAAATGAATTATGTGGACATTAAGCAAGTCCAGCTTTCCCCTTCGATTGCTTGCAGGTGGTTTGCTGGAAAAGTCACAAATGGCCTGCAATTACTGTGAACCCAGAACCCAAATTGCATGAACCCAGAAAATGCTGCAATCATCATAAATACCATCCTTGTTGAGTTTTGATCATGTGACCGCGGGGATGCTGTAAAGATTGTAAGTCCGAGAACCAATCACACGTCACCATTTTGTGTCAGGGATGAGCCACGCTTCCCATGACATCTGTCACTAACAAATGGTTTTAAGTTGAGGACTACTAATAGGCCAGACAAGGACCAATGGATGGCAACTGATCAAGGAGAGATTCAACCTGGAAATAAGGAGAAACCAACCAATGGAACAGAAGTTGCCTTNATCCTAGGATTGTGGGTCATCTGATCCTACCCTCTTTGTTCGATCCTAAAACAATGTAAGCGATCTCTCAGGCACCAAACTAACAAAAGAAGGCCATGCCTCAGTTGGTAGGCACGTGTGAGGCCCCACTTCCTAAAAGGAACTCCAACTGACTGCAGTTGAAGTGGCAATGTTGCGTTCACGTTAGTATTCTCTCTCGCTTCTCTGATAGCAGAATGATTTTGAAAGATGGCTCTCTACCAAACGCCATAGATCTTACGGATGCTTTTATCTGAGGCAAGAAACTCAGAGGATTCTCATCTCCGGCTCAGAATTAAAGAATAACGGAATAACGGAAGGCAGTGGAGGCAGGGGTGGGTTCTGGCAGTCACTTCTGCCAGTTCGCTCGTGGCCACGCCCTGCATGCACGCTTCACACACACTTGTGTGATTGATGCGTGTTGTTTGTGCTTTGATGCATGTTGCGCGCGCATGCGCAATACAATAAAAATTGCTCTGCACATGCAGAAGCAGAAAACAAGATGGCGGCACCTATGGCGCCATTGGGAGAACCATTCAGGGGTGTGGCAGGCCTGGGTCATTGCCGGTTCTAGCGACCCAGGCCGCCAAACCACTAACTACAAGTCCAAACTTGTAGGAACCAACTACTGGTCTTAAGTGCAAGGATTGGTCATAGGTCAATCTTTTCAGGGCTGTTATAATTTTGAACTGTCACTAAAATAAAGGTGGTAAGTTGAGGATAGAGTGAATGTAACAAGGTACAGGTCATCCTTGACTTACAATAGTTCGTTTAACGATCACTCAAACTTAAAGCAGCACTGACTTATGACCATTTCTCACACTTACAGTCTTGGTCATGGGATCAAAACCTGGAACTGGTTCCCTTTGATGATGTCCTGGGGTTGTGTGATCAATTTTTTTTGCAACCTTTTGACAAGCAAAATCAAAGGGAAAAACAGGTTCACTCAGTAACCATGTTATTAATGTAAGAACTGCAGTTTCTTAACAACAGTGGCAAGAATGGTCATAAAATGAGGCAACATTTATTAAAACAAATATCTGGCTTAATAATGGAAATTTGGGGCTCAACACTTATACAAGGAATACTTGTATAATAAGTGTTGAGGTTACCAGGAATATGGAAGAAGGAAGACATGTTCTACTTTTCTTCTCTCTGTCCTGCATCTGGCAGGGAGCCTTAAAATCAATTAGAGTGTGGCTCTTTTGAGTGGGTGAGAACCAGCAGTGCTCATTCAACCTTTTGGGTATTGAGGGTACTGTGAACTTATAAACTCTCCTCTTCTTTCTTTCCCTTGTTTACAGGCAAATTGAACAACCTAGATTTATGTTATTTATTTCCTGGTTACGACGATTATCTTGATTCAGCTCATTTAAATCTATATTCGCTGTAGTCTGCAGAGCACACAACACAGTTTCTATCATGAAATTTGGAAAGCACCCTTCATTGATTCTATATTATTGCTAACATACGGTCTTGAAAATAGTTACTCTGTTTTCCCGAAAATAAAACACAACTGGAAAATAAGTCCTAGCATGATGTTTCAGGATGCTCGTAATATAAGCTCCACCCCCAAAATAAGCCCCAGTTAAGATTGTCAGCTGGATGGATGCATTTAGTATCATATTTTCCCCAAAATAAGACCCACCCGAAAATAAGCTCTAATGCGAATTTTGGAGCAAAAATTAATATGGGGCCATTTTTTGCAAAAACTGGCATTTTTGCCTTTCCCCAGTCCTGCTGAAGCATGCAGAGTGCTTCTGAGGGCTGGGGAAGGCAAAAATGCCTCAGTGTTTTGCAAAAACAGCCCGTTTTTGCCTGTTTTCCCGCAAAAATGGGATGTGGAGGTGGGCTTCAGAAGGCCAAAAATGGCTGCGTTCAGAATATAAGATGCACCAACATTTCCACACTCTTTTAGGGTGGGAAAGGTGCATATTATACTCCAAAAAATATGGTAGTCTTATTTTGGGGAAAACATGGGTATTTGTTGAAAAAATGTGATTGAAAAACCAGTCTTTCTGATGCTGGAAAAAGTAAGTTCATATAGATGTAGATGCCAGGCCTGAAATCATGAATGATATGTGGTGATTCTTCCAAGTTGCATTCTTTATTGTTTCAGACCTACAGACCGAATCTTGCCAGACTGAACATTCTACTATCTGCATCCGCAATATATTATGGAAACTACTGGGGAGGAGCTGACTTTATCCTCTTTCTCTCTCACATAACATCCAGACTGAGTTGCTTCTTATTCTTCTGGAATACACCCCCTCCCTTCTGAGAATCCACCTCTTTACTTCATTCCAGCACAATAGGCCTAGGTGCTTTTTTTCCCTGCAGTTTTTCTCTGTAAATTTTGTCACTTATGCCAATAAAGTTAGAGCGTCCTCCTTTTCAATTGTCCATATCCTTCTATGCCTGTTGAGATATCTGCTAACCCAACACCACAGGTGGGTTTCTGCCAGTTCACCATGGTTCAGTTCAGTTCAGTTTATTGTATTTGTATGCCGCCCTTTTCCCCCGAAGGGGGACTCAGGGCGGCTCACAACTCGAACCGGGGAAGGGGGGTACA